GGCATTATGGTGTGCTTGCCCAAACAATCATAAGAGACTTCTCAGTGAGGTTAGCACACATTTTATGAGGTATTGACTTTTGTGCTAAGAAACGGGATGGGAGTGGAATGCTAATTAGATGCAAAGTGCCCAGATGACTAAAGGTTTTTACTGGCACAAAGCATCCAAAACCCAGCTGCTTCAGACACATTGCCAGAGAGAATACTACGGCCCCTTCATCACTTCCTGCCTGAAATATCTGTGAATAACATGCATGTGTGAAAGAGCCAGAACACAGGTCATACAGTACGTTTCCGAGCACAATTCAAAGTGTTGGTGCTGACCTTTAAAGACCTAAATGGCCTTGGCCCTGTATACCTGAAGGAGCGTCTCCACCCCCATTGTTCAGCCTGGATACTGAGGTCCTCCTCAAAGATCTTCTGGAGGTTTCATCAGTGCGAGATGTGACGTTACAGGGAACCAGGCAGAGGGCCTTCTCGGTGGTGGAGCCTGCCCTGCGGAATGCCCTCCCATCAGATGTCAAGGAAATAAACAACTATCTGACTTTTAGAAGTTTTTAATGTTTGAAGTTTTATTGTATTTTTAATATTCCATTGGGAACCACACAGAGTGGCTGGGGAAACCCAGCCAGAGGGCGGGGTATAAATTATTATTATTATTATTATTATTATTATTATTATTATTATTAACATTGTGGGCAGAGCTTTTCCATGCCAGCAGTTTGTCCATTCAACTGCAAGCTATAGAGACCAGCGATCAAGTGACTTTGCGCATGTGTGAATTGACCCACTGTCCTTTATCTATTACAATACCACCCGATCTTAGCCCAAAGGCTGAGAAGTGATGATGGGCACAGCATGAATGAGGCGAGAAGAGTAAAAACCAGACTGGTGAGCCTAAGGTGGCCTGAGTCCGGTTCCTGATTCCATAATGAGAATCCTTTACATCCCTGCTGTTTTTCCACACAGCTACCAGCTTTTCTGCCCTCCCACCTGCTTAGAGCATATTGCCCTGCTTCTCATCAGCACCCCATAGTGAGTAGTCAGCAGGGGTTGTTTCCACAGCTCTGGAATCTTAAAACACCATTGGATCAGAATGTATACGAAATGCAAAGTTCTGTTTCCGGATTTGGATTGCTTCCCGCTGTAGTCGCAGTGGACCTGCATTTCGGCTCAATTGCTGTCATTTGCAGTTCCGACAAATCGCTCTCCATACCTGCTGTTTGTACCTGTTGCCGCCTGAGACTGGGGACAGTGTGGTGTTTCAGCTTTGTCCATCTTTATATGCTGATAAGGTTTTTTTGGCTGTGTTTTCTGAGCCAAGGGGTAAAATATCAAAATAGGAGACAGCATATGCCCGCGCTGCCCAGGGCGGGTGCGCTCCCGAGGGGGGCGGGGCACAGAGGGTGCCCTCCCCGGTGTGGGATAGCTGCTTGGGTGCATAGAGCAGTGCGCGCACCCTGCAGTCAGGGGCGGAGCGAGCGACTGCCAAATGTCACCCCCCTCAGCGAAGACACCCGGGGCGATCCGCCCCCACCGCACGCCCCTTCCTCCGCCCCTGGTGGGAGATGGTATTGTTTCTCTTCTGATGGAAAGTGTGCATGCATACAACAAACAGATTTTTAAAAGTACAGTGGTACCTCGGGTTAAGTACTTAATTCATTCCAGAGGTCCGTTCTTAACCTGAAACTGTTCTTAACCTGAAGCACCACTTTAGCTAATGGGGCCTCCTGCTGCCGCCGCTCCGCCAGAGCACGATTTCTGTTCTCATCCTGAAGCAAAGTTCTTAACCTGAAGCACTATTTCTGGGTTAGCAGAGTCTGTAACCTGAAGCGTATGTAACCTGAACCGTATGTAACCCGAGGTACCACTGTAGTCATGTTAAACTGTAGCAGCAGCAACAGGAAAACCACTGTGATGTTTTAGAAGCTGCCTGGTTTGCTTAACACAAACTCTCTCAGGAACTGTGGAGCAATGAAGCTATGCAGGAAGGAGTGGTTGTAGTCTGTTTGATACTCAAAGTGAAAAAGCAACAACAATGACAACATTGCTTCTCGCTGTACTGGTCTCCTACTCTGCTTCTGCCAGTCAACATCCTATATATATAGTTTTTATTTGTTATATATATATATATATATATATATATATATATATATATATAATTATTACATTTTCTAAATTACATTTCAAAATATCCATTTAAAGGTAAAGGTAAAGGTCCAGTCGTGACCGACTCTGGGGTTGCGGTGCTCATCTCACTTTATTGGCCGAGGGAGCCGGCGTACAGCTTTCAGGTCATGTGGCCAGCATGACTAAGCTGCTTCTGGCGAACCAGAGCAGCGCACGGAAACGCCGTTTACCTTCCCGCCAGAGCGGTACCTATTTATCTACTTGCACTTTGATGTGCTTTCGAACTGCTAGGTTGGCAGGAGTAGGGACCGAGCAACGGGAGCTCACCCCGTCACGGGGATTCGAACTGCCAACCTTCTGATTGGCAAGTCCTATGCTCTGTGGTTTAACCCACAGCGCCCTTAATTCAATGACTTCCCTTCTTCTCTTTTGGTGGTTCATTTTGCATACCATACAACCCTGCATATTTTACATGAACTAAACCATTCAATAATCCCTTGTTACATCTATCAAAACTTAGTTACACTGTTGAATTTATCTTAATGTTACCAGCATTTTTAAATGAACACAGTTTTTACCCATATATTCCGTAAACATTTTCCAGTCTTCTTTAAACGTGCATTCTTCTTGTTCTCTTATTCTATATGTTAAGTCTGTAAGCTGCACGTATTCCATTAGTTTAAGTTGCCATTCTTCTTAGACTAGGATCTCACTCGGTTTCCATTTTGGGGCTGACAAGACATGGGCCATGGTAGTGGCATACATAAATAGTCTTTTTTGGCACCTGGGAATTTCCATCTGAATTATCCCCAACAAAAAGGACTCTGGTGTTTGTTTGTTTTTTTGGAAAGGTACTTTTAAACATTTTTTTTCCAATTCATTATATATCATTTCCCAATATTAGAATATTGCCAGACAACATCCTCTTCTGGATGTGGTTGTTGTCCTTTAGCCCAGCAGTAGTGTGGTGCTAGCGGGAAGGTAAACAGTGTTTCCGTGTGCGGCTCTGGCTCGCCAGAACAGCGATGTCACACTGGCCACGTGACCCGGAAGTGTCTCCGGACAGCGCTGGCCCCCGGCCTCTAGAGTGAGATGGGCGCACAACCCCAGAGTCTGTCAAGACTGGCCCGTACGGGCAGGGGTACCTTTACCTTTACCTAGTGGTGGTGAAGTACTTCCGAGATGTTATAGGGCATGCACATTAAGTTACAGTCATATTGAAGAGCTCTATAGTGCAATGGGCAATGAAGAGCAATTAGCTAGGGCTGTGCCAAAAATTTATTCCCCATTTTCTTTGGCCATTCTCCATCAACTAATGGGAGGAGAAACTGAATTCACGGGCTTATATCCAATGCAGTGCTAAGGAAGCATCCCACAAGCACAAGGATTCCCACTTGCACAATGGGACTTCCCTCCATCTCCCCCCCCCCCCCGCCCTCCTCAATTCTGCTCCAGAGGTTTAGGGGAACACCCAAAACAGATTTAGGGAGTGAATGGGGGGCAGGGAGGAGGAAGCGGGGGAAGCCTCCTGGTGCAAGTGGGAATCCTTGTGCTGATAGGATGCTAATGTAGAACTGCACTGGATACAAGCCAACCATTATCAAATAGGAGGATAAATTCCAGTGGCGATCCCATTCATAGGGTGTAGGGTATTTGTTGTGCTTGCCGTGCCTTTCAGGTGACCAAGTGAGCATCATTTCTTTCTTTCCCCAAATCTTATCTCCAGTGCTCTGCATTCTGCAGCCTTGCCAGGTGCCCACACTTTCTGAAAACCCCATAACTTCTTCGGATGGGCTTTCATTTAAGCAGGGGAATCCTGGGAGGCTGTCTACCATGCTCTAGACAGCTGTTTATTTTTTTAAATATATCATTTTTTCAAAGAAATCATTGTGGAACTGTTTTTTAATGGTAAAAGGCTCCCCTTAGAAACAAAATCACTGAGTGCACTGAACTCAGACACGATAACCAGCCTCCAGGGCTTCCCACACCTTCTTCAAGCTGGAGGAAGATGTTTAAACAACTCCTCCCATTGGGCTGTTTCAGATCAGGAAGTGTGGGCAGCTAGGGAGACTGCAAAGCATTGGAGAAATGTTTAATGGAAAGCAGAAGGAGGAAACACACCACTCTCGGTTACCTCACAACACAACAATAATGTAAGCTCAGTGCCAAATAGGAATAGGTGAAAATGTTAATTTCAATTTCTTTCAGTTTCTCATTTTTTCAAATCTTCAGTTTGCTACATTTCCATGTTAGTCTGCAAGTTGTTGTTGTCAGGGCTGTCTTAAGCATATGCAGCACCAGGGTGCAAAGATCCGCCTGGTGCGCCCCCCCCCCCGGTTGCCCAGTCCCAGGCGTGCAGGAGGGCGGAGCCGGATGGCCGCCTCAGCGTCTCGCTGGCTCGGTCACCCCCAAACCCGTGGCGCAGAGCCGCCCACAGCAGAAGAGCCCCCCGTGGCACTCCAACTGCCGGGTGGTCTCTTCCCCAGACTCAACTCTCGGCCTGACACCCTTGAGAGCCCGGCACCCGGGTACCCCGCACCCCTTGCGCCTATGGGTAAGACGGCCCTGGTTGTTCTTCTTGTTTTAAAAAAATTCTCATGATGAAAATTCACCAGAATTTTCATGAGTATTTATTCTAATATATGCATTTTTTGCAAAGCAAATTCCCCCAGTATCATACATTATACTATATAGTTTTCACTAACAGAAACATTTCCCTTAGTGTATGCATTTTTGTGCACAATACTCAGTTGGAGAAATGTGCAGGTTTGGAAGGATGGCTGCATTTCAGTTGCTGTTCTCTTTTGAAAAGTGTTAATTAGGCAACTTTACCTTTAAATGTGAACTGAATCAAATTTCTCCTCCATCCAGGAAATAAAGAAAATGGATCGAATGTTTCCTAATATTGGAGGCGACGTTGTGATGTTGGACTGGAGGATAACTATTGTAGACTTTTATAATTTTATTTGGAGAATATTCCTTGGACTTCTTGAATTGAAAGAATTGAAAGAATTAATGATCCAAGTGATCTCATGTAGAATTAGGCACCAGAGCTAGTATCTTTCCGGTCCCAGTTCAGAAAGTGAGCTGGCTACATCCACCCCTTTGGAGAAGGTATTTTATTTGCTTGCAGGGGAAAAATGCATTTCATTTTGGATACTTGTGCATGGAAATGTTTGGGTTTCTCTCTCGTCATGCAGCTCTTGGATGGTCCCACAGGGAGGCTGTCTATTCTGCCTAGCTAGGGTGGTTCACGCACCGTCTTGTTGCCGTAAGCTTGGAGCTGCAAGTGGGTGCTCATTCCCAAGGAGGCTAGAATTCTGTTCAGTGTTATGTTGCAGCAAATGTGCTAGACTAGAGTGAATGGAAGGCACCCTCTCTGCCTCTCAGCTCCACTCCTCCTTGCTGCCAGGGGCTACAATTCAAAACAGATGTTCTGTGTTGACAGGAGACCAAACAACCTTCCTGTGTCCTAGAATGAAAACACATGGATGTGAAATCAGGGTGTTCAGGATGATTAGACTAAGTTGGACGGAAACTAAATTTGCTTGTGAAGGAAGAGGAAATGCAAGCACACTGTTGACATCAGTCACATGAGCACAGTTCTCCTCAGGGGAAAACACTGCTGTTACTGCAACTGAAGAACAGACACTTTCAAAGTTTTTATACCCATACACAGGTTGATGATATAATTTCTCATTTTGACTAGGGGACATACTTTGGTTCAACTTTTTTCTCACCGATGGATGAAACCAAACCAAACCAAAAACCCATCAGAGGACACTTTCTAAAATGGCTTAGGGAGTTTTGTGGGGTGGGGAGCATTGTTGCTGTCATTGTTATTCATTTTTTGAATCTTTATTTTAGATCTGATTTATGTGGAAACCATTTAATGTGTATTTTTAAATGTTTTATTTATTGTCCATGACTACTTTTGTTACGTCTGTAATTATGTGATTTTCCTTTACATGTTGCTAGCCACTTTGAGAGTGGTTTTAACTTTGGAAAGGCACCAAACAAATAATATGATTGATTGATACCAGCAAATTCAGGTTGCACAATTAGAGTGTATTTAGTGCTCTTGCAGAACAAACCCAATTCAAAAAAGAGAAGTATTTCCAGGATAAGGGAAGTGACAGGAAAATGCACTGCAAAGTGTGAGGTAACAATTGCTTGTCACAACTTTATACAATATAATCTTCTCACAATCAAATCAGAATTAATGCTCAATAAACAGGTTGCCTGGAAGCCATCATATGAATATTTTGAGTAGTTTTGAATTTTTAGAAACAAATCTACTTAGTTTAATGACAGCATTTTGAGATGAGTGTCATTGAATCAGCCTTGTACAGTGGTACCTCGGGTTAAGTACTTAATTCGTTCCGGAGGTCCGTTCTTAACCTGAAACTGTTCTTAACCTGAAGCACCACTTTAGGTAATGGGGCCTCCTGCTGCTGCTGCGCTGCCGGAGCACAATTTCTGTTCTCATCCTGAAGCAAAGTTCTTAACCTGAGGTAGTATTTCTGGGTTAGCAGAGTGTGTAACCTGAAGCGTATGTAACCTGAAGCATATGTAACCCGAGGTACCACTGTACATGAGGCTTCAGGCAGATTACCCCCCCCCCCACACACACACATCAGTTGTATTGAGTGATGTTGGCTTCTATATTATGGTCCCCACATGAAAGCCACTTTATGTCCCAAGGCAGTTATCACATAAGGGACCATTTGTGTCCCGTGGTTCATTGTGCAGAGTGGCCACTTTCTCTTCTTCTTCATTTTAGCAGCTTGCTGTGACATTCAAAATAATTACTAAGTCTCAAGTGGTGCTACACATGAACACATGTGATAGTGGCCATCCTGAGGACTGATTTAATACAGCCTCCACACTTAAAGTGCAAACTGTGCCCAAGAGTTGTTTCAACATGAGTGCTGATAAAGTGCAAAACTGCTGTCAGTCGACAGATGCCTTGTACAACCCAGCACTCATAACCCACAGACATATCCTGTCCATCTCTCTATCATATCTATACAGGCATATTCGCTTCCTCTTTTTAACCCTCCCCATCTCCTTCTCAACTGCCAAGAATGAGCCTATCACCACTCCCACGATCGTTAATTGTGGGACCCTCCTAAGGTAGCTGTTATCTCTTACAGGTATTTAGGCTGGGATCCTCCCAAAGTGGTACAGTCAAACCTCGGTTCCCGAATGCCTGTTATTGTACGTTTTGGCCCCCGAACGCTGAAAGCCGGAAGTAAATGCTCCAGTTTTCAAAAATGTTTTTCGGAACCCGAACGTCCAACTTGGCTTCCGCTCAAGTGCAAGAAGCTCTTGCAACCAATCGGAAGCCATGCCTCGATTGTCGAACATTTCAGAAGTCGAACGGTCTTCTGGAATGGATTACATTCAACAATCGAGGTTTGATTGTACACCTGTACACTATCTCTTGTAGATGTTTAGGCTGGCAAGCAGACAAGTTACATGATTTAGCAGAATAAGACTGCTTAGCAAGATAAGGCGAACTGCTGCCTAGGAGAGCGGTGAAGGCCTCATATCAGTGAAGGAGCAATTATGACAGACCACTCAATGCACAATATACATTCCGCTGCGTTTCCCATACACCCTTGCAGTACAAATTTTGTCTGCATCTTAACACAGCACTGAATTGCCATCACCACAAGTGGTAGTGTGTGCAGCCATGGGCATTCAACTCCCCCTTCCCTCCTTAAATGGCTTTAGGATGTCTCCCGCATCAGGCAGTTTACCTGAGCAGGTGAGCACTGTGACAGTGTTTCGGAACCGCTGTTAACAAAGCAGAATCTAAGCACAGCTCCACATTTTAAGCAGGCACACGCTTACTGCTGGTGTTCCCCACAACAGATGCATACATAAAGTGTTAGTGACAGATACTCTTCCTTAATGCGTCATAAAGGTAAAGGTAAAGGTACCCCTGCCCGTACGGGCCAGTCTTGACAGACTCTAGGGTTGTGCGCCCATCTCACTCTATAGGCCGGGGGCCAGCGCTGTCCGCAGACACTTCCGGGTCACGTGGCCAGCGTGACAAGCTGCATCTGGCGAGCCAGCGCAGCACACGGAACGTCGTTTACCTTCCCGCTAGTAAGTGGTCCCTATTTATCTACTTGCACCCAGGGGTGCTTTCGAACTGCTAGGTTGGCAGGCGCTGGGACCGAGCGACAGGAGCGCACCCCGCCGCGGGGATTCGAACCGCCGACCTTTCGATCAGCAAGTCCTAGGCGCTGAGGCTTTAACCCACAGCGCCACCCGTGTCCCTCCACAGCGCCACCCGTGTCCCTAATGCGTCATAGGGCTGTACCTAATCAGGGCTCCCAGACCAGTGTATATGGGTAAAGGAGCAAATATGCCTGTTTTCCAACACTGCATTTTCGGCAGGAAACCACAGCCTATCTGCAGCAAACACAATTGCTGATAAAGTACCAATCCACTGTCATTTGGTAGATGACTTGTAGAACCCACCAGCCATAAGCCACTAGTGTATCCTGTCCAGCTCACTATCATGCTTGTACAGGCGCACTCACTTCCTCTCTTTTCCTTTCCCCATCTCTTGCTCAACCAACTCTTGCACAAAGCAATCCCAAAGCAGAAGCTGTTGCTTTGGCTGGGGGTTGGGTGGAAACCCTCCACAGTGGCTGCCTGCCAGGAATGCTTCCACACTGCTATACTTCTCTGTCAGGAAACCCCCTTGAGCAAAATGTTGCCCTTATTCCTTAGAAATGCCTCTCCTGTCCAACATGGCCAAGGAAATATGGTAAGGCTACACTGAAAGCAAGTTGGAGGCAGATTAAAGGCAGTCAAAAGGCCATTTCTGATTTAAATGCCCAATGTGTTCAGGGACAGATGTTTTCTAGTGATCACATGGGCACTTCTATATAAAAACGTTACATGTAGACTAACATTACAGTATAATATCATAAATAGGATCTGTCAGGTTCTGTTCCTGGATTTAGCTCTGAAAAACTTTAACGGGTGATTAAGCATGCTATAATGGAACTCCTTGCGGGCACTGACAATATCATTTTCAAAAATGTATCAATAAGCACACGTTTGAATTTTACCAAATTGCTTCTGCCACTATGCCCCAGTTGAGGCAATAAGAAAACAACATTGTTTCCTACTCAGTCCCCCCTTTCTCTCTCTCTAATATTATCAAATGTCTTTTTTTAAAAAAGGTTTTATTTATACTTTTCAAGTTTATACGTTTCATTAGTTTTACAATCAATTTAACATCTCAAAATTTGACTTCCTTCCCCCTCTTTCTGCGGTTAAATTATTTAAAAAATATCTTCTGAATATCCAAATTCATTTAACTTGCTCATTTAATTATCTACTATAAATATATACTCTTATGAAACTGCAGGTTGTTACAATAATCCTGCTAATGTTTTTATCTGTTTAAAATTTATCTGTAAATATTAAATAAAGCATTTTTTATAAAAAGTTTGTTATCTTGATTTCTTACTCTTCCGGTAAGTTTCACCATTTCTGCATATTCCATAAGTTATTGTATCCATTCTTCCTTTACTGGGACTTCTGCTTTTTTCCACTTTGGGACAAGTTTCCTACTCAGTCTCAGCTATTCAGAGAATGCCATCAACAGCCTCAGAAACAATCCTGACATCATAATTAAAGAAGCCAAAAAAGGGGAGGGGCTGTCATCATAAGCAAGTTGAACTACATATGAGTGTCTGAGAAATAACTCTCCAGCAGCACGTCTTATAGTCCCCTTGTCCTCATACCCAGATGAGGAATACCAGAAGGACCTACATAACTTGATGGAGGAATATCCTGCAGATGTGCAGGCCGAAGTCTGCATAGATAAGATACATCCCTGGAAACTCAGTGAAGGGTCTTCTATCTGTTACTGAAAGTGCACAAGGCAATCCCAGATGCCCTACAGTTTGGGGCATCAGTACTATCACAGTTGGGGTATCTGGGTATGTAGACTTTATTCTCTGATCAAATGCCATCAATACTCCTAGAGTGAGATCCTAGCCCTACTTGTGAGCTTTGCATAGAGAAATGTTTGACCACTGTGAGAACAAGATGCTGGACTAGATGTGACCAGCTGGGCTCTTCTTAGGTTCTTAGGAAAGCGTATTTGCTGGATGTGCCTCCAGCTACAATCTTATATACAGTGGTACCATGGTAGTCAAATGGCTTGACTTCCAAACAAATCGGCTCCCAAACTCCGCAAACCTGGAAGTTAGTGTTCCGGTTTGCAAATGTTTTTTGGAAGCCAAATGTCTGATGCAGCATCTGTGGCTTCCAACTGAGTGCAGGAGGCTCCTGCAGCCAATAGGAAGCTGTGCCTTGGTTTTTGAACTGTTTTGAGAGTCAAACAGACTCCTGGAATGGATTAAATTCAAGAACCAAGGTATCACTGTACTCTTATGTCACATTGCGATGAGTGGGACTTACTGTTGTGTAACCATGCATATGATTGCACCCGATTCTCTGTTTCCAATATAGAACTTCTACCTCAACACAAGGTGTGAATCTACATGACTTGCCCACTCTAACAGCACTATAATTTTCCATCATTTCAATGAGAAAACATTCTGAACACAATAGCCAGAACACAATAAAACATAAAATTAATAGTGAATACAAGAAAATCAGGAAGCAATTAATGCCAAATGGTTACATTCAGAGCACCCTATGATAGAAATATTCTTCTCTGTAGACAAAAGCTTGGCAGGGATCAATATAAAATTGATGTATGAATGGGGGTGGGGAGTAATAAACTTACCTACCTCTCCAGAAAAATGCCCATTTAAGGCAATACGATTAAATTGGGAGATTAGTAGTACTGGTGCCATGCCAGAAAAATGATAGGGTATCTTTCATGCAATCTTTCAGGGTTTTTTTTAACCCTTTTACTTCTGAAAAATAAATCAGTGCTTCTGGTCAAGGCTTAATTGGCACTGTTAAAGCAATTCTAGCATGAGTATTCACAACATTCTCTACTACCAGCCCAAGTAGTTCTTAATTTACTATAACAATGAAGAGAAAAGTCAGATATATATATATATGCATAAAAGAAAGGAAGGGCAATTAATGATCCAAGTTTAAAGCGCTGGCACAAAGGCAGCATTACTATAAAGGTTTTTAGTAGGAGAAATCTGGAAAGAGTGAAATTTGAGCAAGAGATCAGTTCATCGTTGTTGCTTAAATTGAATTTCTATTGGACCTTGTGCATGGCCTATATATGTCTGCATTGCAAATGAGATTTGAAGTGGTTTGGCAATGCAATGAAGACCCCTGTCAATGCTGAATTCCCCCAGGCCACATGTAGAGAGGCAGGTCCACTAAAGAGAAGGGAGCATCAGCCTCAGTCTGCCTACAGTAAGGAAGAGGGGGAACTAGTTGCCCCTGCCTGCAATTGACTTCTGGCTTCACCTGTTTTTGGCCCAAGCAGCCCCAATAGCCAACAGCCACAACTGCATACCGGTGGCGAAGGCTGGCCCATCAAGGCAAATGGGACAGTGCTCCACTAACCAGCGTGCTGCCATCTGCCTCATTGCAGGGCAGATTTGAGGGTAAACCATACACGGAATGAGTCTGCCTCTGCGGCTTGATGCAGGTAGAAACTGTCTCTCATGCCTTGTTATGCTGCCGTTTCTACGGGGATATATGCTAGGCATTTATTACCCCTGCTATGCAAAAATCTCCAAATGAATCCAAACTTCAATCTCTAAAATTCCTTGTAGAGGACAAGAATCCTGAGATCACGTTAAGGGTAGCCAAATTCTGTGCGATTGCCATAAAACTTAAGGAAAAGCTGTACTATCATAATGATTAAGGTTTTAAATGATAATTTTAGGTTATATGTTAGTGACTAATTTTTAATTTATATATTTTTTTTAACTGTTGCTATATCTGTATTGTCCCCGTTATAAAAGATAAAGGTAAAGGGACCCCTGACCATTAGGTCCAGTCGTGGCCGACTCTGGGGTTGTGGCGCTCATCTCGCTTTATTGGCCGAGGGAGCCGGCGTACAGCTTCCGGGTCATGTGGCCAGCATGACTAAGCCGCTTCTGGCGATCCAGAGCAGCGCACGGAAATGGCGTTTACCTTCCCGCCGGAGCGGTACCTATTTATCTACTTGCACTTTGACGTGCTTTCGAACTGCTAGGTTGGCAGGAGCAGGGACCGAGCAACGGGAGTTCACCCCGTCGCAGGGATTCGAACCGTCGACCTTCTGATCAGCAAGTCCTAGGCTCTGTGGTTTAACCCACAGTGCCACCCGCGTCCCTGTTATACCTAATTGCAAAGTCAAATGTACCCCCATCATGTTTTATGACTTCCTTGATATTGTATGTGGGCTAGAACTGGTCTGTGACCAAAATAATAAAATTCATTCAGTGCTCCACTAACCAACCTCAGTCTGCCCTTAGCCAGACCCTACTTGCCTGCCTTTTTACTTGCAACCTGTCTGGGGGGGGGGGCACTACCTGTCCTTTTCTTCCTTCCTAGCACCAGTGTTGGCATTATAGAACTCAGTAGGGGCAAAACTAGAATTGGCACTACCTGTCATTGGCTCTGGCTCAAAATTACTGTTGGGCTACCTGTGTTCTGCCCTACTAGCCTCAATGGGCACCAGGTACCACTGCATAGCTCCTTGTTTCTCTCAATATGAAGAGATATTGGGTCATACTACTGCTTCTGTTGTTAACAACTGTAGCAGAGCTAATAGTACAGACTTCAATAAAGAATCACTGGGGGTTTGGGGGCTAAAAAGTGTTTAAGAGAGGGAATGAATTTTAGCACTTCATTCACAACACCATCCCAATATATTTTAGACTGCCATGCAATCTTTTGACAAATTGTGGTATGGATTTTTTTTTAATTAAAAAAATATAATTATCAACAGCTTCTAGGAAAGGAAGGAACTTCTGCCATCTTTCCGGTTCAGTGAGTGCTCAATTGCCTAGGGCTGCCTGTTCTGCCACTTTCCTCAACTTTTGTCCATTAGTCTCAGAACACTAGAAGAAAGTGGCCAATGATTGCATTAATGGGTCTCTCATTATTTATTAAAACTCGGCACCACCAGTCGTCATTTGACTGAGCTGGGATTGGTACAATTAGGCAGAATTACTCTGGTGAGATGAGACATTTCAATAGATTTTACAGTTCTGTTTCTGGAGGCTCTTGTTACTATTATCTGAGGTCAGGTCATCAACCGCAGATGGAAAAGCACATTTGGAAAAGCAACAGGGAAATTCCTACATGGTTTCTGCCCTCTGCTGGTCAGTGCCAAAGAAAAAACATGGTTGTTCCAATACTGTACATGTATTAGACATATCATAGTGCATTTGTCTACTCCAGCCATCCAGTCATTGACTCCTGAAGGGCAAGGGTTGTAGGAGGAACCCCAGCCAGGTAAAGCAGCTTGTGACGTATGCTCAGGACGACCCAGGATTGAATCTAGGTTATTACCTCAAATTAGGAAAAGTGGTTAGGTCCTTTCAACAATCAGGCATACCTGACCCAATCAGGAGTGCTGCATGGACCAATCAACCTTTTTGGCCCACTGCTGGCAACCCATGTGACCACCCCTTCCTATTTTACCTGATGGGCTGAGCAGATCTCATTGTCCTCTCCCCTCATCATCCCAGCCTCTCTTCTTCACCAACTGACTGCATCCTACATTCTGCAAGGCTTGCTCCATCACATACCAGGGAACCTGCACTGGATAGAGCATACATTGGATATGGTGGCTGTCCTGTGATGCAGAGGCAGCATATCTCCACTCCTGGCATGATGTAAGTAAAGGATTGCTCAGTAATCTTTTGTTAAAGCACTTGGACTTTACCAACGGTTTTCTGACTGCTGAAGTACACCAGACTTGCTAATGTTGCCCCTGATAGTATTCTCTGCTCTTTCCATGTCTCGGTACCTGTGGGATAGCTCCTCTCAGAAAGACCTACCACAACAAAAACAACACAACGTGACACTGGACTGAAAATATTTTAAAATGTGATTTTGACAAAGGATATCTTAGATAAATATTTTTTATAATACTAATTTGCAATTGTATAAACCGTTGCATTATTACCTTCCTTGTGAATGTAAAGAATCTTACTCTAGAAGCATTCTTAGTGATAAAATGATCATTTTGCATCTCTCAAGACTTTAGATACATTTGGGCTGGGTGTTCATCAGTATGCGGATGATACCCAGCTCTACCTCTCTTTTAAATCAGAACCAGTGAAGGCGGTGAAGGTCCTGTGTGAGTGTCTGGAGGCGGTTGGAGGATGGATGGCGGCTAACAGATTGAGGTTGAATCCTGACAAGACAGAAGTACTGTTTTTGGGGGACAGGAGGCGGGCAGGTGTGGAGGATTCCCTGGTCCTGAATGGGGTAACTGTGCCCCTGAAGGACCAGGTGCGCAGCCTGGGAGTCATTTTGGACTCACAGCTGTCCATGGAGGCACAGGTCAAATCTGTATCCAGGGCAGCTGTTTACCAGCTCCATCTGGTACGTAGGCTGAGACCCTATCTGCCTGCGGACTGTCTCGCCAGAGTGGTGCATGCTCTGGTTATCTCCTGCTTGGACTACTGCAATGCGCTCTACGTGGGGCTACCTTTGAAGGTGACCCGGAAACTACAACTAATTCAGAATGCAGCAGCTAGACTGGTGACTGGGAGCGGCCGCCGAGACCATATAACACCGGTCTTGAAAGACCTACATTGGCTCCCAGTACGTTTCCGAGCACAATTCAAAGTGTTGGTGCTGACCTTTAAAGCCCTAAACGGCCTCGGTCCAGTATATCTGAAGGAGCGTCTCCTCCCCCATCGTTCTGCCCGGACACTGAGGTCCAGTTCCGAGGGCCTTCTGGTGGTTCCCTCACTGCGAGAGGCCAAGTTACAGGGAACCAGGCAGAGGGCCTTCTCGGTAGTGGCGCCTGCCCTGTGGAACGCCCTCCCATCAGATGTCAAAGCGATAAACAACTACCTGACATTCAGAAGACATCTGAAGGCAGCCCTGTTCAGGGAAGTTTTTAATATGTGACATTTTAGTTTATTTTTCATCTTTGTTGGAAGCCGCCCAGAGTGGCTGGGGAAACCCAGCCAGATGGGCGGGGTACAAATAATAAATTATTATTATTATTATTATGAATACTAAACTTTAAAAAAGAAAGAAATGGGGGCGAGGAAAATGGTTGAGCCTTTGACAGATCCAGCATAGTATTCAGTAATGCTGTATACAGTAATACTGTATGCAAAAGTGATGTTGAAAAACAGTTTACAGCTGATGACAATCTGGTCTAAATCCCATTAAGATCAAAGCTAGTTGTGTATGCTTTTCTGCTATGTCATCCTTCTCCAAACCCGGTAAAGCTGCTCAAAATAGAAATTAATGGAGGCTTTGTCAATGTGATTTGAAAATAGATTCATGCTAACCATTAATTCGTTTCTATGACACCCAGTCTAACTGAGTATGTTCTTCTGCCTGTCTCCCACACAGATTCGTAAATCTTTATCCACATGAAAGTAACCTATATTGAAATATGAAGTTATCAGCTCTATTGTCTAAGATTAATACATATCGGACTAATTCAGTGTAATATTTCAGTGTAAACTTTGTAGCCCAATTCACTATACAGCTAAGCTAAACATACTTGCATTTAGCCCCAAAAGGACATTTACATCCAATTTCTACATTGGGTGAAATTTCTATGTTTGGATGGAAATTTCTCATGTATTCCGCTTGGATGTTTCCCCTCCATATGACCAGGTCCGGTAAACAGATGTCACCATTCACCAATCACAGCCACAGGCATCAGCTTAAATACATGAGGCTATTATACAAATACTATTTACTACTGAACTAGGCAATTTAACACTGTTATTAAACAGTGTAGGGGCTAAAACAGAATTGGGGAACCTCTGGCCTGGGGGCCAAATTCAGCCTTTCAGGCCTCTCTATCTCAAGGCTACAGCCTGTTTCCCTGCCCCCCATTTCATCCCGGCAAGCTAGGAGCATTGATGGACAAAATCCACCCAGGCAAAAAAGCATTTGATGAGGGCATAGTGGCTCAGGAGGCACAAGGGACCAGGACCTCTCCCATAACACCAGTAGTAGAGACTCCCATTACGGTCCTTGTCAATCCTGCAGTCCCTCCTGTTCCTCCATCTGCAGGCAGGGGGACTAAAATGCACAGCCAACACAAGGCTAGGGGGCATAACAGGAGGTGCAATATGTCCCCATCACTATCACCCTCACCCTCCACCTCTTCCCATTCATCTGCCAGGGGGCAAAAGAAGTGGGTCACACTAAGAAGTGTAAATACAATACCAAGAGCAGACTTGGCCAGAAGCTTAGTCTAGTCTAGAAGTAAAAAAAAGCATGGATAGCTGATGCTAGGTCCACCTTTTCTGAGAGGCTGCAACTTGTGAATCTACTGAAATGATAAAAGGTACCCTGGCAACTGTGTCCACCTGGGCATGCAGGGAAAGCATTGGGTTGAAGAGTATCCCCAAGCGGTATGCCACTCTTTTAGGGAGTGTACAGACCCATGGAGGGTAAGATTAATATCCTTTTCTAGATCACCAGAATTTAGGGCTGCCAATGTAAAACAGAACAAGGCTACTGTACCTTGAATAGTTCTGTACAAGAGGGACTTTCAGCAGCTCTGAGCTTGCATGGCAAGCTACACCTGCTATAATTATTTACACAACTACTAGAGGTGCAAGAGCCCTGCCCTCTTTTGCTTCTGCTCTTGCTACCAGAATGACTGATTAACAATATCTCCACCTTAAGTTTTAGCTTATTTACTCCCATCCCCTCCTGAACACCAGATGCCAATTCATCTCTTGCACTGAGCTGCTTAGTAAGGACTGATCAATTTGTCAATTACAATCTCTGTTTCTATTTTTTCAGATCCTAAGTCAGTTTGCCACATCTCAGAATTACTGTATTTTCTGATATTTTTACAGTCCTCCTGAAAATTCTTCAGCATTTTAATCCAAGTTTCTCCTAATATACACATTTTGTATATATGCAATTTTGCCTTTTGCAAGCAATTTCCCCATATATAATGCTCTTTTTTGTATGTTATTTTGCTTATGCAGTTTATGTAATTTCCCCCCTACGTACACAATTTCATATGCATTTTTGGATAGGAGAACTGCAGCACAAAATGTGAAGAAGTGGCAATTAGAAAGAATAATAATAAATTCAAATAATTGGAATGCTTTAAATCTTTTAAAATCCTGTAAGTTGGTGGTAATCACCACATCTTGTGACAATGAATTCTAGAAATTAATTTGGTATTGTGTGAAGTACTTCCTTCTGTATTCTGAGGAAGACCATCTGGGAGCCTGATGCAACTGAACTCTCTCTCTCCTCAACCTGGGCTATCTACTACCACATGCCCTGTGGAAAGGATCCTGGTAAAGTATTATATTCCAAAATTATTGCTGTGGTTTTATTAAAGTATCTCTGTTACTTGCATGCCATCTTAGAAGGGTTTGTATCCTCAAAGATGGGGGGGGGGGAGAATACATATACACACACATATAGTGTGCCCTTAACTACTGCTAATCAGTTTCATTAGATTATCCCTGGTTCTGGTATCACGGGAGATTTTATTCACCATCTCCACACTTCACATAATTTCCTAAATCTCCCTCATACCCACTCCCACTTTCCCCCCTAAACAACCCCCTACCCAGTGTACTGGCCATTTCTCCTAGCAAAATTGCTCTAACTCCCTTATCATTTTTTTCCAGCTGTTTTTTGAGATGGAGCAACCAGAACTGTACATGTGCTTGCACCATAGATTTATATAAGAGCATTATGATACTGGCAGAAATAGCTTTTTCTAGGTAAACTGTTCCTTTTGTCTTTTCACAGATTATCATGATTGAGATAATCACTGGGCAGAACATGACTCTCAAGCTATCCATCTGCTAAGAAATTTTCCTATGCAAATCTCACTGAAATGAACCAAATCGTGTAAGAAATTATTGTCACTATGGTAGAACTCTTCCACACCTCCCACTAATTTCAGTGCAGCTTGTGTATTGAGACTGAGCTCAATGAGACTTGCTCCCGGATGTTATTAACACTTTCGGGGCTTGCTCCTGAGTATACACAGATAGAAGACATTTAAGATGAAATGAACTTTCATAGACAGCGAGTTTTAATACAACAAATACATTATGTGCAGAGTTTTAATACAACAAATACATTATGCACAATGTATTTTTTAATCAATAAAAAAGGCTCAATAAAAAAAGGCTTTATTCACCTGTTTTTGCTTCTTTTTCTGCTTTAAAACCTCTACTAAAGAGAGAACCCACTAACCTGAATTAGAACTAGGACATGAAATTAAAGCTGAATAAACATGAATTCTGTTTGAACACTTTTTGGATGTTGTTATAAATTATTTTAATTAATTTGATACAAATCGTCTGAAATCCTTAAAAAGCTAAGTAGAAAGGGGAGAATTATTTTAACGAATTATATAAATTCCCTGACTCTACCTAATTACTATTAACAGCTTCCACTGTATTCAGGATGTAAGGAGTGTTTTATGTATTGTCAGATACAAAAGATTACAGGGCACCTGCATCTTTAATACTTGTGTACAAGAGGGAGAAGCTACACCCTTAATCCCTGACCTCCTTTGCATCTGGCCATCCTAACAAGACAATCTTATCTACGTCCCACTGTGTTCAGTGGGACTTATTGCAGGCAATAATCACGTGACTCCTCCCCAGGCATCTTAAAGATTCATCAAAGTGTTAGGATTTGTTGCACTTCCAGAGTGAAGTGGTATTTATACGGATTTATGAATCCATACACAGTATATGTTTTTGTATCAGGTTTCCCCTGCTACAAATAATGTCAAATGGTGTGACTGTGAGAAGTTAGTAAATCTGCTAGAAAATATTTTGATACTCCTCTTTGGGTACCATCTAATGCAGTTACTTGGGGGAAAGTTCCACTAAAATCAATGGGGCTTACTTCTAAGTATACATATATAGGACCACATTGTAGATTATGTGGATTCTGTTTGAATGGTACAATTGCTCCTGAAAACTAGGGTCATTACCTGCCAATATTGTGTATATTGCATGGATGGAAAATTCCTGCCCAACTTCAAATGTGGCCTTCAGTGATCTCTGTGCTGCCTGTGCATCTCAGGAGGTGCATTTTATTGCAGTGCAAGCAGCCTAGATCACTTACTGAGCCCTCCACTTTCCAGGAAATGCATGTGGGGGTAATGAACCTACCACTACTGACCAGGGCCAGCCCACCTTGGGCGGCAGGATCCACAGGAGCAGCAGATCCCGATGAAGATCTTTATCCCCCTCTTGTTCCTGATGTGGACTTTCACTCAGCTATTCTTCTTCCCTGGCAGGGAGGATGCTATTTTGTGGTTCACCTCGGGTGTCAAAATATCTTGGGCTGCTCCTGCTTACTGGCACACCAGGGCTTGTGAAAACTGTACCATTGGAATACCTGCATCAGTTACTGCACGAAGCAGCCTATTTAAAATGTTCAGAGAAAAAAAGGGGGGGCTGCAGCTGTCGCTAGCACTGCATGGAGGTTTAGGATCTAGGTACCACAGAAGAGTCCTCCCCAGTTGCAGAACTTGTGGTGGGCGTTAGGACCTAAGCAATTTTTTTATTCGTTTGGATTTTCAAAGTTAACGTTTATTATTTCGAAGTACTGAACGTTACGGTGTTTTTACTGTATGCAATGTCTTATATACTACTCTCGGAGCCAAGGCAAAGATGATTTTATGGACGTTTTCTCAGTGCGGGACTCTGGGCGGCCCTCCGCATTTCTGCAGCGGAGGCAGGGCGAGTTCTGAGGGACGAAGGCCGGTAACGATGGAGGAAACGCTGTGCGCAGGAAACGCCAGGCTCCGAGCTTTTCCCAGCGGAACCACCAACGCCGCCTCGCCTTCGCGCCTCAGCCAAATCAAACGAGCAAGGCCGCGCCTCAACTCTAGCGACAATCGTCGACAGACCAATGAGCGGACGGCTACTGAATCCCAGCCGCCAGTTGAAACGGTCGAGTTGGGCATCGCCAACATCCAATCAAATCAAAGTTGTAGCGCGAGACCTCCCCGCCCCGCCCAGTCCCACGCTAATAGGAACAGGGAGAGACAGGAGCCCGGATTCGAAGAAAATGGCCAATGAATGCTTGGGCGACTCGGGCTGTGACGGAGGGAGAAATAAAGACGACTGACAGGATTTTTGTCCAACCCAATCCCAGCTCCTGCTCGTAGCCTCTCCATAGCCGGCCTATAGTGTGACTCTCCTGCTGCCGCCGTTCAGCGGAGCTCACGGACCTTTGGAGTGACGGGCGCCTCGTCTAATAGGATGATGAGCGCTAGTTAAGAAGGAGGGTTTCCGCTTCCGGGGCTCTGGGCCGATTTTTCCCTTCCCCTCACCTCACACTGACAGACTTTCTGTGCAATTAGAATGGCGGACGTCGGTTAAGTCGTCCAATGGATGCGAAGTGGGCGGAGTTGCCGTGTGCAGGAGGGTTCCAAGATGGCGGCGGGTGCGTGAGGCGCGATACTCGGCGCGCGATTCCCTCTTGCTGGCGCTCGCCGCCATGAAGGGCAAGGAGCGTTCTCCTGCCAAGGCCAAACGGTCCCGGGGCGGCGAGGACTCCTCTTCGGCGCGGAGCGAGCGGAGCAGCAAGAAGCCGAGCAACGGCGGCGGGAAGTCGGCGAGCGGCGGCTCTGGCGAGGGTGGCGGCGGCAGCAGTCGGCGGAGCCTTCACTTGGAAAAGGCCAGCCGGGCCAGCAGCCGCGAGTATGACTCCGCCACGGTGGGCAGCTCCGGGGGCGGCGGGAGCAGCAGCCGCCACGGCTACAGCAACAGCAGTAGCAGCAGCAAGAACGCGGAGTCGTCCTCGCGGGGCAGCCGCGGCGGCGGCGGCGATTCCCGGGCGCCCCCCTCCGACTCCGGCAGCAGCAGTGAGTACAAGACGCTGAAGATCAGCGAGCTGGGCTCTGCGCTGAGCGACGAGGCGATCGAGGACGGGCTCTTCCACGAGTTCAAGCGCTTCGGGGACGTAAGTGTCAAAATCAGCCGCCTGCCGCCCGGCACCGGCGCTGGCGACGAGCGGGTGGCCTTCGTCAATTTCCGGCGCCCCGAGGACGCCCGGGCTGCCAAGCATGCTCGCGGCCGCCTGGTTCTCTACGACCGGCCGCTGAAGATCGAGGCTGTCTACGTCGGGAGCAGCAGCGGAGGGGGGAGCGGCCGGCGTCGCGCCAGCCGATCTCCTGCCCTTTTGGACAAGGAATCTCCCTACGGAGCCGCAGCGGTGGGTGTAGCAGGTGCGGCACCTGCAGCCATCAGGCACCCCTCCACTGGGGCTACTCAGAGGGCGCTTTCTCCTGCTGGTGGAGGAGCTGGCTTGGGATACAGAGACTTCAGGCTGCAGCAGCTTGCCCTGGGCCGCCTTCCTCCGCCACCGCCACCTCTGCCTAGGGAGTTGGAAAGAGAACGAGATTATGGGGGCTTCTATGACCGCGTGAGGCCCGCTTACAGTCTGGATCGAGTTGCCGGGGTGGCGGCAGCTGCATTTCGTGGGGTTGGTGGCACTGGAACAGCCAGTGAGGAAGAGATTAGCCCCGAAGATGACCAGAGAGCCAATCGTACCCTATTCCTCGGCAATCTGGACATATCAGTGACTGAATCGGATCTACGCCGAGGTTTTGACCGCTTTGGGGTAATCACTGAGGTGGACATCAAGAGGCCATCCCGAGGTCAAACTAGTACCTATGGATTTCTCAAGTTTGAAAACTTGGACATGGCCCACCGGGCTAAACTTGCTATGTCCGGTAAAGTGTTGCTGCGTAACCCTATCAAAATTGGCTATGGTAAGGCCACCCCAACCACACGACTTTGGGTGGGTGGTCTGGGGCCTTGGGTACCATTGGCTGCTCTTGCCAGGGAGTTTGACCGTTTTGGCACTATTCGCACCATTGACTATCGTAAAGGTGACTCATGGGCTTACATCCAGTATGAGAGCTTGGATGCTGCACAAGCTGCTTGTAGCCACATGCGTGGTTTTCCTTTGGGTGGGCCAGACCGCCGTCTCCGCGTGGACTTTGCTGACACTGAGCATCGTTATCAGCAACCTTATTTGCAGACATTGCCACTTCCACCCCCTCCTCACTATGATCTGGTAGCAGAGACATCTGCCTTTGGGGCACATCGTGGAGCCCCATCGGATCCACTCCGAGGTGCTCGGGATAGGACTCCACCCCTAGTGTATGGCGATCGTGACAGAGATCTCTATCCTGAGACAGAGTGGGTGCCTCCCCCACCTCCAGTTCGGGACAGGGGGAGCAGAGCAACTGTTTATGATACACTAGAAAGTTTGGAACGCCGACGAGATGGTTGGTCTCTAGAAAGAACTCGTGGGGAAAGGGAGTTAGTCATAAGCAGTAGGGATCTACCCAGGAAGCGAAGGCTAGTGGAAGATGGGCGGCATTTGGACCGTTCGCCGGACAGTGAACGATCATCTTCATCTCGCAAGCGTCACTGTCCTGCTGCAGCCTCTCCACAAGATCGTAGTCCTGAGCCAAGTCTGGGCAGAGACCGCTATAGTAGCGATGCAGAACGACCAACCTCTCGTTTGCTGTTGCTGGAGCGCCCTTCACCCATCCGAGAGCCACGCAGGGGTAGCTTGGAGCGAAGCCAGAGTGAGAAGCGTGACCGCAAAAGCTCTGAGAGGGAAAGAAAGCATCGCACACTTACCACTGCTACCACCCAAGAATGCAAGAGTCCAGCTAAAAAGGATGAACATGCATCCGAAGGCAGCAGTGGTGGAGGATCTCGGCTGAAACCTCCACCTCAAAAGCAACAGCAGCAGGATGGAACCTCAAAGTCTGGGTCATCCCCCAAACTGTGCCTGGCCTGGCAAGGAATGCTTCTATTGAAGAACAGCAACTTTCCGTCTAACATGCACCTACTTCAAGGGGATCTGAGTGTGGCCAGCAGTCTCCTGGTGGAAGGAGCAACTGGTGGCAAAGTGGCCCAGCTAAAGATCACACAGCGCCTCCGTTTGGACCAGCCCAAGCTGGATGAAGTTACCCGTCGTATCAAAGTGGCAGGGCCCAATGGATATGCTATTCTTCTGGCTGTGCCTGGTACCACAGACAACCGTGCCTCATCTGGTGAAGCTAACACCACCTCTACACAGCGGCCGCTCAGAAACCTGGTGTCCTATCTTAAACAAAAACAGGCAGCTGGGGTGATAAGCCTCCCAGTAGGGGGCAATAAAGACAAAGAAAACAGCGGGGTCTTGCATGCTTTCCCACCCTGTGATTTTTCTCAGCAGTTCCTGGATTCTACAGCCAAGGCCCTGGCTAAATCAGAGGATGACTATTTGGTCATGATCATTGTCCGTGGTGCATCTTAAAGCCCTAATACTTTCTATGCTCTCTCCTGCTGCTTCACACAGCCCCCCTCCCCTCTGTTCCAGTGTCTGCCAGGTGCTATGCGATAAGCCTTAGCCACTTCCCCAAGTATAATTTTTAATTAGATATGTAGTTAATCTTACCTCCCCTCAGTTTTCTATAAACTCTCTAGAAGGCAGACTTGTTAGCTGTTCTTTAGTATGGCTAGGCTACCATGACTGTCTTGCTGATGTGCAGGTAGCAGGAATGGAAGGTCTGCTTCAACTAAAATATGAATCCCAGAACAAGCATATTTCTTTCTCCCTTCCCCCCTTTTAAAAAAAATACCCTTTAACTTCTTGTCCTCTTTCATTTCATAACTTTAAAGTAGACATAAAAACTTCCCTACATTTACAAATCTAAATGGCCAGATTTAAAGCATTTGTGGCTCATACAGAATCACATGCCTAAAGCAAATGCCCATTGTGAGCCCTATGGTTAAGTGAAGGCCTTGGGCTTGTAGCCTTGAAATCAAAATAATCCCTCCATCAAGAACCTGAAAATAACATCTGAGTTTGAATTGATTCAGGATTGACTTCCCCAAGGCAGATGATACTTTATCTTTTGTGGTACACTAGACTTCTTTCACTGGGTTTTAGTTTTGTTGCCAAGTTCATAGAAGTGCATGCCCACAAAGAATGTGTACACAGGTGTACTTTTGAATCTCTTATTCATTTTGGGTTGTAGTTGTGATACATGATAAAGAACCAAGAGCATTGCTATAATCCATGAACATCTTGCGCTTCAGTATGTAAGAAGCAGGTGCTTTTAAGACAACTGTGATTACTTGCATTTTTGTTATTGCCCTTTGCTAATTGTGGTAGGGACAGTGAATTCCAAAATGTAACTTGGAAATATAATTTTCTGAGATGGCACTTAACTTTTGTAAAAAGTTCTGCCACATAACCATTTCAATATCATTTTATAGCCATGAAAATAGAAGTGAATGCTACCTGGTAGTTACTTTCAGGTAAAAAATGGGCATTATGCAAGGTTTTATAGTCTGGATTGCACTGTTTTAATCTTGACATTTTTGCAGTCTTGTATTTCCAAGTGTTGGGGAAGCAGTTCAGTTTATTCAAAGAACATAATTTGTTTTTTTTGGGAAATGAGGATTTTTAAACTCCACAGAAACATCCTGATATAGATAGGGGGGGAAGTAGTTCAGACATGTGGCTTCATTTTTCTAATCTTTTCATTCAAACATTTTATTAACCCTCTAAGGCATTGTACCAGCCTCTGAGTAAAGAAGAGTGCTGTTTTCCACTTGGTGTAAAATGGTTTTGCCCAGGTATAAAGATTTACATTATTTGAAATGTGGCTTGGTGAAAGCAACACGTTGCTCATTGTAAGCTTAAATTGAGAAGCATGTTAAAGTCACTTTTTAGATTTCTGAAATCAGTCAATCCTTTCACTTTTTCAGAAAAACAGCTTTAGCACCCTAAAACCCATTGATGAGCAATTGCAAGTTTCAAATAACCACCAGCACACACTGAAAATGTCTGCTGTCCTGTAATAAAGGAAGAAAACTTTGAACTGTGGGCTGAAGAGCCCTTCAATGTGCATGCAAAATCTAGCCACTTTCCTTACTATTAATGAGAATTCTGTAGGGAGTTGTTTTCATATATTCTCTGCTTCCAGATGAAGTCTCAGTAAGATAGGCCTATGTTGCCAGTTAGTGCATAACATGACTGTTGCTGAGTTATCCATGTTATTGCACTTGTCAAGCACTGGTGGCATATAGAGTGGATTCTCTTACGGTTTTTGTAACAGAGCTTGATCTCTATGTTAGACTTCTGAGTCATTTATGGAAGGCCACCTATGTAACCCTTCAAAACCTTTATACTTGTGAACAATAGTACCCATTCTCCAATATGCAGTGCTCTTTTAAGAAAAGCCCTACAGAACTTGAATTTGCAAAAAAATTGTATGAATAGTCTTGCTTACAAGCAAGCCACTGACAACTGGTGTCAGAAAAACTCAACACCATGGGGTTTCCTCTTTGAAAATGGAAACAAATTATGTTCATTGCTGCTTATCTTCATGACTTGAAGTATGTTAAGGTTATGTGAAATGGGCAATTTCAATTTCCAAATCCTTACTTAGATTTTTTTTTATTATTTAGTAAAAAATCTGGTTCATTTGTTAGATAGAAAAGGAAACCTAGCATTTTAGGAGCCCTTTGTAGGGTATAACAATTGACAAGCAACATTAAATGTCACAGCACTTAGTTAAAACCGCCATAAAATCTAAATACAAGTTTGGGGGGCTGTATTTACTTTTGAGTGTGCATAGCAGAGCAATTATCCTTTTGAGCCATCTGGGTAAGAGTTCAGCACTAGCAAATGTTGCATTTAATGCCACTTTTATACACAACAGATCAGAGTTATTTTCTCTGTATATGGCATTATGGAGCTTCAGTATGAGCGATGCACACTTGATTGGTGCATATATTCACAACTGTTTTCATTCATTACAGTGTATTGCGTTAGAATGGAGAATTATCTTTTTCTGATACATCATTTAATCGCCACTTTTTGTTGCTTAGGGGGGAAAGTGGCATATTGCCATTAATACTTTTTTTTTTTTTTTACAATTGGAAACTTTAAACAGCGGTTTGGCTGTTAGCCAGTGACTGCATGCTTGAAAGTTCAGCATAAAGACTGCTGTTGGCTGGCAACATGGCATGAATTTAAGGCTACCTCATTATTGTGAGATCCACTTCTATGTTCTGTAGAATGGCTTCCTACATGGGCAGTCCAAATTGGAGCAATTGAAGTGGAGGCAAGATTATAGCATTTTTAAAGCAATCTTCAGTGTGGATCACTTCCCTAGGAGTATAATAGGCAAAAGAGATAACTTATTTGGGTGTCTTAAGCAAGCAGCTGGAGCCTGGCCATGATTTAGAGTGAAAAGGTGCATGGAAAAACCTCCTGGAATTAGATGGTTAAATGGAAAAGCTAGAGGCTACCACAAAAGTGTATTCAGGAACTATACTTGGGGGCACTTGATAAAATTTGAATATGAATTAGAAGTGAAGAAATCAATGTAAAAATAAGATGTATAGTAACTTACCCTGGCTACCATTTAATTTGTGTAGATAAGAATAGATACTCCAGATGTGTCATGGAATGTAAACATTTCCAGTTGTATTTGACCAAACTGCAATACTTTAGAAAAACGGGGGGGGGGGTGGAATTGTGCAGATGTAATTTGGTGGAATTTGATGTATATCATTGGCTTCCCCTCCCTCCTGCAACTAGTGGGCTTGCTGCTAGTAATATGCAGTAAAGTGAGAAAATACACATACAAACAGAACAGTTAACTTTCATGTTCTTGTTTGAGTTGCCTTTTTGAAAAAGCGAAATTGTGTGAATTGATTTTCCTCCTGGGTTTTTACCTTTTTTTACCAGTTCAGTTGAATAACTCCAAACTGTATTTTACGTTTTAAAACCCCTGGGCTATTCATTGTGCATCTATATATAGATGTTAATTCATTTCAAAAGTTTTGTGCCAGTGAAGGGTGATTGGTGCTTTCAGACTTTCCCTAGAATATTCAGGAAAAGCCTTGTAGTTCTATAAATTATCTGTTAATGTAGGGAGAGGACAACTCTGTTGTAAACACTTGTACTGAATAACCTCTTCTTTCCTCCTGAAAGCAAGGCTGGTGAACTGCCGAAGACAACAAGGGATTCCAAGCTCTAATGGACCTTTGCGAAGAAAAGCTTTGGCTTGTGTGGAATTTACATGGGCCTCATGGAAGAAAGCTTATCTGTTTAGTATTTGTGCATTTTACTAAAATGGCAGCTTAAAAAAAAGTTGTGTATCTGCTATTGTGATGCCAATGCCCGTGTTTTAAGTGGAAAATTGACCTCTTTGCTTTGTGCTGTGTACACAAGATTTCTGCAAAAGTAAAGGAAAAAAAACCTTTTTATGGCTCACACAGCTTAAACTAGCTGTCACTCAAAACATGCGCTCACAGTCGAGCTAATTTTGTTTCATTCTAAATAAATTGTTTCTTTTGAGGAAAGTGGTTTTTCTGCCTGGAAATGAATTGACAACAAACCTTTGACCCCTTTGTTTGCAGCTGTGGGGGTATTTTGCTGCTGCTGCCACTGCCGCCGCTCCTCCTCCTCCTCGATCTGATAGTTATGGGTCTCAGACAAGAAGCAGGGAGACCTACGCATTGATATTGACCATCCTGTTGTATCAGATCTGAAGAATCTAGTCTGTTGTGTTGCTGTGTCCCATTGTTTACGGTGAATGGGGATCAATGGCTGCTATCTCCTCATCTTTACGAGGAAATGGTGCTGTTGCTGGCATGCAAGAAGCAGGGAAAGCATCTTTAAGTCTCAGAACAGTGTACAAATCTGGGACTTCATTGATTTTGAAGAGCTGGAGTTCCTGAATTTTAAGTTCTTGATTTGTTTTGTTCACCTAACTTGTTTGGCCTTAGTTCTGATTTTAGTTTGAAGAAAGTTTGAAATTGCTTTGCATCTTGCGCATAGAAACCTTTCCACCAAATTGAAAAAAAGAAAAAGTAACTCAAAAAAATTTAAGTGATAGCGCGTTTCCAGACACACTTGAAAGAGCTCCTCCGCATCCAGGGGCTTTTCACCAGAGTTGTGCAGTCCTGGGTGTAGTTCTGAATGGATGAAGAGTTCCTGAGAGCTAGAATGCTGTCATTAAAACCTGTACCATTGGTATTGGTGCTCTTGACCAGTTTTGAAGCAAATTGTCTACACACCTTGGATGTGCATGCAACCTTGATCGTTTCCTAGGTACCACTGCAAACTTGTAGTTTGTAGTACAGATGATGAGAGGAGGAAAAAAGTGGTGACACTTTGAAAAATGTGTCCCTGCATTTGGGGACCTTGAGCTTTGGAAAGCTGTTCCCACTGTGCAGGAGTACAACTCTTTGCTGCAGGAGACTTCGGGGCACGGTTGACGTCACACCACCAGAGGTCAAGAGGAAGCGAACAGTGCTGCACCTGCACCGTGGCTGCAGAAACCGCATATGTTTGCCATTCTGTCTTAGAATTAACTAGTTGCCATTTGACATGCAGATGGAAGACATCTTGAAATACAAGCTTGCTCTGGTTGCCTTGAAATGTTTAACCTATTGTGGATAAAGAACACTAGCACTGTCCTGTATTCACGCAGGATGATTGCTAGGCAGCAGGTGCTTATCAACACACGGATGCAACGATTGTGTTCCACAAATTATGTGTTCCCAAGGCAAACTGCTGTTTAAAACACTTAAACAGGTAAGGGATTTTAAGAGGTCAAACTAAATTGTAATTCTAGGGAGCTGGGTTTACTGCTTTTAGGCTTTTCTCATTATATTATAGCCGCCTAAGTCCTTCGGCAACTGGTATATCTCTTACTAACTCGCTTTTACCCAAAGTGCTATGACTTCCAGGATGGCTGAGTACTAATTCAAACTTGTCATTTAATGTCACTTTTAGTTGATTTCTGAATTCCTTTTTTAAAATCTGCAAATAGTTGAGCGGTCAAGCTATTGGATGGTATCTAACTTAGTAGTACTGAGAATAGACCCATTTAAATCAATGGACTTAACTTAAGTCTGTTGATTTCAGTGAGCCTACCAAGTATGACTAGTTGGATACCACCCATTGTTCCTAATAATAAATGCGGATATTTCTGTTGGGTGAATTAAAGTACTGGCTCAAAGGGCTGCTTCACACATGGCTTTCTATATGGTCCAGGACATCACTTTTCTGTATTAAAATCAATGCAGTCATGTGAAAATGCACACTTGGTGTTGTGTGCATACCTAGAAACATAAGCAGATGCTCATCATTTGATCATGCCTTTTCCTGCATGGAATATATATAGGAAGGTCATTGAATGTGAAGAGATAGTCATACTTAGATTTTAAGTGATTCAGATATTGTGAGGATATTTAATTCTGGCAAGTGATACAACAGATCTGCTTGAGTAATGATGGAGCATATTAGAACACAGCTTGGTATCAACAGGCACAGTTTAAATTTTTGTCACAACTGTCTTGGGTTTTGGCAAGTAATTTGAATTTCCCCTCAGTTGTCTTTTAAGTACTGCAAGAAAACAGACCTTTTAAATAAAGAAATGGAAAGAGGTGGTTACACATCCTTTATTGAAATCTGAGTAATTAGGACCATCATCAGCACAATCCTGTGCATGACTCCTTGGAAGTAAATCCTGTAAAGTTCAGTGGAACTTACTTCCAAGTAAGTGTGTATAGGATTGCAGTCTACTCTGATGGTGCGAATGCCACAGATGATTTAGATGTTCACACTTGAAATGCAGTCTGCTATATTTACGGTATTCCTTTAATGATTTTTCTTAGAGGATCGTTCAGGTGAATTGAGTTGATTCACTTTGAATTAAAACTACACAGTTGTTTGTACTTTCCCTCTTATTGTTTACCCCAGTATCTTTTAATTGCAGTTCATTTGTGATGCTGGGGGATGCTCTAATGGCTGCTCCATAATAGTGAGTTATTTCTTCACAGGATTGGTCAGCCCCTCTGGATTGGTTAGAGGGACATCTTTGTCTGAAAGGTAAACTGTACATTTTTCTTAACATACTGAATTCCTGCTGCTTAAGTTGGCTTGGGCTATGGCATATATGAAAAAATGGATTTACCGTATTTTTTGCTCCATAAGACTCACTATTTCCCTCCTAAAAAGTAAGGGGAAATGTGTGTGCGTCTTATGGAGCGAATGCAGGCTGCGCAGCTATCCCAGAAGCCAGAACAGCAAGAGGGATCGCTGCTTTTGCTGCGCAACGATCCCTCTTGCTGTTCTGGCTTCTGGGATTCAGAATATTTTTTTCCTTGTTTTCCTCCTACAAAAACTAGGTGCGTCTTATAGTCTGGTGCGTCTTATAGAGCGAAAAATACGGTAACTCTGTAAGCATACCAAGCAGACAGAAAAGAATTTAAATACTGAACCTGCTTCTTTATAACTATGCATTCTATGGTAAGAATATTTTTGAAGTTCTTTGCTTATCTTGAACTGCACACAGAGTTTGCCATTCAGTATATTAAGAGTGTGATCCAGCAAAAGTGAAGCCTCATTAAGGGGGAGTGAAGAGCATACGTATTTTTTCTCAGAAATCAATGGGATTGAAAAGTGCTTAGCCATTGCTCTTTAGCATTAGTTAATTTTCATAAGAAAACGATTACAAACAGGAAAACATTTTAAAATAATGTACAACCAATTTTAAAAATATAACTGACACAATTGAAAGTGGATTGGTAGATCAGTGTTTAAGGTTCTAAATCTTCAAGCTAAGCATTTCATTATAAAATGTATATAAGATACACCAAAGAAAATATTTCTGCACCTCAGTAAGAGATGGTTTGTAGTTGTATACAAACTCTTACTTCTACATTCTGTCTCTGAATATTCGAGAAATAGCAATTGCTTACACTTCACATTTAGTAGTGTCTGAAGGAGGACTGGGAAAAACACCTATTCTTAATTAAAAGAAGTATCAATTCGATCCCCATAGAATTCACACACCAGTGTATAGTTCTAGATATTATGTTACCTTTTCACAACAAGGGCTACAAAGAACTTTCTCTGTATTCGTAGGATGGTATCCAACTCTGAGTTGACTCCAAATCAATGGACTTGGGTATAACTTAGTTGGATACCTCCTGTTGCTGTTTTGTTAGGCTGTAAAGGAAAATTGATTGGTTGAAAGCTATTATCAGTGGAAGCTTATCTAAAGTGTCCCATCTAATACAAATTTTAAGTTTAGCAATTGGTAAAATGTAGAGGTATGGACATAAGTTAGTGTCTCGAGTTATTCTGGTTCAGGTAATTTGTTAAAACTAAGACGATAAAAAGTATGAAATCTTTACTGAAGTCAATATATTTTGGCAGTTGCTAATAGTAGAAAGTAGGCTGTGATCTGCGAGTGGTCATAGACCACTGATTATTTTCTGGCAAATCTCCTTGTACCTGCTGCTTTCTGGGGTTATTGGAAAGAAAGCTTGGGAGTGTGTAGACCTTGGTCAGCCAGCAGGGCACTTGTTGCACAGGTTAGTTATGCCCTAATTTAAAGCATGTACTTTTGCTTTGAAAATTTAAAAGAAATTGGTGGTCCATGGGGATCCATGGTTAGACCAAACTTCGCTAACTTTGTGACCTCCAGCTATTTTGGACTGATAGACGTTTCAGTCCAAAATTTTGGCATGCACCAGGTTGGTGAAGACTAGATTAGATCCAACATGTAAGAAAGACTAACACTGTTCTTCCCATAGCTTTATAGCCTTGTGCTCTATAAAGCGTCTTCTCCAACCTTTCCCCCCCAAGATGTTATTGGATTACTGATTTCCATATCCTTGACAGTTGCCCAACTGATGGGACGATGGAAGTTGTTGGACTACAACATTTAGGAACAAGGTTGGGGAAGGCTGCTTTAGAACATTGGATCATGAGAAATCGGTTACAATTAGCACTAGATCAGGGATGGAAAACTGTAGCCCTCTAGCTGTTGTTGGGTTTTTAGCCAGTGGTGAGGGATTGTGGAAGTTGTCCAGCTGCGCAGGTTCCACATCTGCATTACATAGTGTCAGTACTGCATTTGAACCCGAGAAGATTGTGTGAGCTTTATGGATCCCATTTTGGACACCCTAACAATGTGAGGACTTTGCCTTCTGATGCTTCCAGATCTGGGGTTTTGAATCAGAAGAGAGTGATCCAACTAACGGATCCTTAGAGGTAGAGGAGAATGAGTGCATAAGGTATGCCAGGTTTCATACTTGAAGAGTATATCAAACAAGCAGGTAGTACTAACAAGGTGGCCTTAAAAGTGCTTATCCAAATAATGGAGGGTCTTTTGGTAAGAAATCAACCTTGTGTGTGAAATTACTTATATCTTGGCAACTTAATGTCAGGGGTGTCTACAGTTATAGGCTGCATCCATTTACAGCTTTTATTGGGCATGTGGCCCTCCAGGCCTCTCTAACTAGCACTCGGGACTCTCTCCAGGCCACACTCCCTCCTGAGCCAC